GGTACGTACAGGACAGCCTTTGGTCACATTTCACACTGGCTGCCTAACATCCTGTCAGAGATTCGTGGCTTTTCCCTCCTCGGACCGCTCTCAGTAGGTCCTCACCACGGCTGACCGTGAGCCCACAAGCCGTGCCGTTTCAGACCTGCTCTGATCCAGTCCTCTGGCTGCTATGATGTGGCCCTTATCTAAGTCACTCAGGTCTCAGGTTTCCTGCCTACTTATTCAGCATTGAAGATGTTGTCTATAAGTACCAAATGCTGGCTTACCCTCTAATACATCCCACACCTTGACATGTACTGCTCTTAACATCATACGGTTGAAAGATATGAGATGGCTATAGTGTGCAGGAGGTAAGATTCAGGAAGTATAATCATGCACAGCATGAAGGATAACGTCAATATATATAATATATATAGACAGTCTTTTATCTAAAACGTCACAATGGAAGCCACCTAGTCACTACTGATCATGTATGCATGTTCTCCATAAGGCGTTTGAGCTGACTCAACCAGCATTTATACCACTGCCTTAGTGTCACAGCACAGATATACTGTAAAGACGACATGTGGAAACCTTCAGGTATATTCTCCACATTTTTAAGAATGCAGACGACACTGCTCTCCGAATGTCAACGCAATACTTTCATGAGGTACCCTCCCATCTTAATAATACATGGGTCTCTCTTATAGAAGTATTCAAAAAAACAAGCCTGAAGCAAAACAACATATATTTTGTTGCCTTTCAATGAAATAACAAAAGAACAGAGCCTGCTTGCAGTCACAGAGACTTCACATTGCCCGCTGTTGCATACGGCTCTGGATAAACAAATCAAATAGCCTTGACCAGGCTGAACCTAGACATGCACTTGCTAAAAGGACAGTAAATCTGGCCTTTCCCAGTCGTTTGCTCTGGCAGAGGTTTATAGCGTCCAGCCCTTTTTTCTGTGGCCTGTGTGGTTGAGCTGCAGTGCTGGTTCCTTGTTGGATTTCTGAAGGAATGTCATTGCTGTTGTGGGCATCTGATCCCGTTCGGAATCCTGCTCCTCAAACACGGAATCCACATTTAACAAATTGTACTTTCTTTTTCTTTTCTTTTTTTTTTACGGTGGCCTAGACAACAAATACACAAAAGCACATTCCACAACCAAACCCATAGCCGTTTAAAATCGTCATGCAATCACAGCGTACATTTTAAGAATTTATTCCTTCTGGATCTAATAAAGGTCTTAGAAACTCATTAATGTTAATCACACTCATATCTAATGGGATTAAAACATGGCAGATTAGCAGCAGGCAAAACAATTCCACGTCCACAGTTCTGTTACAAAACACTAAAATGCATATAGTAGCTGAACTGGATAGAATCATCCATCCATCCATCCATCCCTTTTCGTAACCATCATCCTGGTCATGGTTTCAGGGTGGCTAAGGGGTCTATCCCAGGCAGCACTGGACCCAAGGCAGGGGTATAGCCTGGATGGGATGCCAGTCCAGCACAGGGCAGAAACACGCACATACTGGGGACCATCCATTCATTTCTATGGCCATAGCACTAACCCAATGCCAACCATAACTCCTACCCAGCCCTAACCCTAATCATAAGTTTTTTATTCTATTCACAAACTTTTGGCCTGAAAAATGGTCCCCACAACATCAAAATAACAGTTATTTTTTTAACACTGTGCGGGATATTTGGTCCCCACAATGTAATATAAACCAAATACTCGCACACACACATTCACACACACACACACACACACACACACACACACACACACACACACGCAGATGGGATTCTAAACCCAAACCGAGAGCTGCGAAGCCACAATGCTCTCCACTGAGCCACATTGAGTTTTATTAATTGACCTAATTATATGATTAAAATATCTGACAGTAAATTACTCCTTCAGTCTCACAGAGGACGAGCCAGCCATATTCCCGCCCCATTCTGGGGGGGGGATACAGCCGTATCCCGAGAATTTTTGTATTCCCAAGCAGCGTCAGCATCCCTCCCCATCTCGCTAGTAGAGCAGCCGCACTAGGAAACTGGATAATATGAATTAGGGTCAGATTAATGGGGAATGAATAAGCAGATTTAATTACAGCGATGTTTCGCTAAAGCAGCCCGTGGGTCACTTCTCATCCTCAGTAAATAAGGGCTGTAAAGAGATAACCACACCGAGATCAGGTGTCGTGCCTGGAGATAACCACACCGAGATCAGGTGTCGTGCCTGGAGATAACCACTGTTGTCCTCTTTCTTTTATTTT